AATAGATTTTTTAATGACAGTACTATAACTACATGTGTTAATATGAGTCCTGTATGCAGGCAAATCAGACAATACAGGGTGATGATTATGCATACCTCGTGCCACCTTGGGCATATCGCTGACAGGTTTCAAAAGCTTGTTCAAATCCCGCAATTCATCATCCGTTGTTTTCTTTTTCGCTGCAGCTTTTTCCGCTTCTACTTTCGCATGACTGGCATTACCATGTTTAATCTACAGAACAACACAAGTTTCAGTCAAAAATTTAGAGAACGAAAGCCCCTTTCACAGTCACTCTCAGTAAGACGGGGAGGCACTCGCGAAGTAGCCCGAATGATGGCAAATCGCAACAGCAACCACCCACTGTCGACAGCTCCCTCTTTCAATAGTTGCTTGCAAGCAAGCCAGTGGCTCAACCTCGAGAAATATAGTGATACTGGTATGGTCTTGTTTTTTAATCCATTTTTCCTTTAGTGCATTTTGCTCTTTGCACAACAAATACGCATACTGTTGAAAGGTCATCCGTGTGTGTGCATGTTCGGAAACGAGTGAACTTTGCCGCCCGCTTTCAACTCAGCAACCAGGGGAACTGAAAGGCTGTAATTTTGGGGCTGTATTCCCACCCCAAGTGTAACTCTCCCGTTTTAAAATTATCAGTCATATGTGCCTAGATCTTGCATATGGACCCCGAAAAAATATGCAAACTTCTTTGGCGAGAAATGATTCCACGAACCAGACAAGACAGGAAGCTGAAACTTTGCAGAGATATCCTCCATGCATATGCGAGCTAAAAATTTCAAATCCAGCTATCGCGTATGCTTACACTGCGCCTATACGTCAAAGTTCGCAATTGGCGCCGTGCCAACTCAAAGACTAGCCGGAAAACAATAGCTGAAATCCTGTCAGAGTACTTATCATTCGTATGGGAAATCGTATACTTAAACCCAGCCTCGACTTGCAATTGCGCCACGCCTTAGGGCACTTCAAAGATATTTGTAGCGAACTGGCTATTTCGCTTATTAGGTAGGCTGCCAAGCTGAAACTTTTCAAGGATATTAGCTTGAAGCAAAACTTAGAGGTCTACGCGGCCCTGTAATGCAATACCTTCATTCCAACCGACGCTCCTTCCCCTTGCATGCGGGAAGAGGTTAAAACGCAGTCATTATGAGCGCAAGTGTTAGGCTACAGCGCAGGAATCATTTCTGCTGTTAGCGATCTACAACTTTTGCGCAAAAACGCATGGTCGCGCCGGCAAGTCCGGTGCGCTGCAGGCTGAATCTCAATATTACGAACGATAACGTATGCTAAAAAACAATCGACTACTTTTGGGGGACAAATGTCACCCTGATCAATGTCTCCGCCATTTTTATGCGTTTTTTGCAGCAATACGAAAAACGCATATTGACGAGAGGTTGTCTGTGTGT